TGTATGCCCCATTTATTAAATCAATGTGGGATCATTCTGGAACCCATCACTGGGCTGCTTTTCCTAGTGCCACTCTCTATGAAAAGACTTACCTCTATGTAAATATTAAGCCCCCACACCCCAGACAGGCCTGGCACACTGTTTTTATTTAAGGCTACTTTGGTTGTACAATCCCATGGCACCTTGTGGAATTGTACAGTAATCAGCCTAGGAGACTATAGAACAGCCATGTTTTTACTTTATATATTAAGAGCCAAAGTGACATTGGGTTAAAAGATTCTTGTTGGCTTTGTGCAAGACAAGAATAGGCTTTGTAAACAGCAGGTCTGGGTTCAGATCTTACTCACTGGACAAGTTACATGGTATCACTGATTTTAGGTTTTTATCTAAACATAGAGTGATAAAACATGGCTTAAGGATTGTGATGAGGAACTGAATTCAATAGTCTATGTAAAATCTCTGTGTAAAGCATACCAGGGACTTGATACATGTTCCTTTTCCTATAACTTAACTACTCTCACTCTCAAACATATACAAGTTTGAGTTGAAATAAAAAACAGACATTTTAAAATGTGATCCTGAACTCAGAAACGTCTGGATTTTGCCACAAGGGTTAACATTAACAAAGTGAAATTTGGCTTATCTATAAAACACAAGTTTGTCTTAATCTTTTACTGAGAACTTATAAAACTGAACATCTTCTGGGGGAATTTGACTATGGACTTCTGAGAGAAAATTCTACAAGGGAAAACTTGGGGGGAAAAAAAAAAGTTTGTATTTTGACTCTGGAAGGACCTCCTGTCCTGGGACCCTAGAGCTGCCTGTCTTCGGCAAAATCAAAGCCCTACATTGGGCACAGTGGTGCACTCCTAAAATCCCAGCAACTTAGGAGGCTGAGGCGAGAGGATCAGAAGTTTGGGGCCAGCCTGAACAACTCAGCGAGGCCCTCAGCAACTTGGCAAGACCCTGTCTGAAAATAAAAAATAAAAAGGGCTAGGGATGTGGCTCTGTGGTATAGCACACCTGGGTTCAACCCCCACTCAAATAAAATAACATCAGAGCCCCTCTTTGCAGCGACAACTTGGGTGTGCTTTCAAACACGTCTTTATTTGCCATCCAAATAAGAACCATAGTCCCAGAAGCTTGTTTTTCAAAATTTAGAAAAGCAGATGTTTTTGCTTATTTTTCTCTCTGTCTTTCCCCTGCCAAAATGCTTACTGGATTTTCATTAGGTTCTGAAGTTGTTATTCTGTTTTGTTTTGCTTTTACTTTTAAGACAAATCTTGGAAGGGAGTCACTGTAAATTGGAGGATGGGCATCCAAACTGAGAAAGCTGTATTTTAGACTCTAATGAAAATGTTTGAGAAGCTGAAGGCAGGAAGTGCTAGAAGACTGGAGCGAGCAAGATGAATGCAGTTCTGAAAGGGTCTCCTGGCAATCTCCCCAGGCCTGTGAGGCTGGGGCTGCCCCAGGAGGCCGGGATTCCAAAAGGAGCATTGCTTTCTAAGGATTCCAGGAGCAGTGCAGGTAGTGGAACACAGCAGGCGGCTGTGGATGGACTGCGTGGATTGAGCATGTGCCAAGGCGGGGGGGCAGTGCCACTCACAGCCCCTGTACAGGATAGCCTCAGAAACGTGGTAGGCACTGACTGTATTCATTTCTGTTTCCACTGTAACAAATCAACTGAAACGCAGTAGCTTCACAGAACACATATTTACCTTAGAAAAAGTGACAGTCAGCAATCTGGTGCTGTTCTGACTGGACAAAAATCCAGGCGTTGACAGGGTCGTGTTCCTTTCTGGAGGCGTGGGTTGAATCTTGTCACATTGCTTCACTCTGATCTCTTCTGCCCTCCCTGTTCCACTATTAGGCACCTTTGTGGGCTCAACCCTCACTCAAATAAAATAACATCAAAGCCAACTGAATATACTAAATACTCCAAGGTAATCTGTCTATTTTAAGGTCAGCTAAATTCCCCTTTGCCATGTATGGTAATATATTCACAGGTTCCAGGGGTCACAAATGGACCTCTTTGTTAGGGTAAGAGAAACTATGGCCTACCACTTTCATACCACATACAATAAGTATATGTAGTAAGACTCTTTCAGTTGCAAGAAATAAGATCTAACACAAGCTAATAAAAAGGAAAGGATTTTATTGTCTCGGGTACTTGGGAAAGTTCCAGTGGCATCATCCGACATAGCTAGATCCATATGTCCAGCCAGGTCATCAGAGTCCTCTCTTTCTTGGCTTTGATTCTCAAGCAAAGGCTAAGACAGCTCCCGGGCAGTTCCAGGCTTACATAGTTCTTGAGACTGAAGATGTCAGAGAAGAAACCAGGATTTTTTTTTTTTTCTTAGCACCAATAAAACGCTGAGGATGACTCTCATTGACCCAGCTTAGGTCACATGTACATCCCTAAACAAATTATGTTTAGAGAGATACAATACTTGCTTCATCTCTAAGGGCAGGAATGGAGTCAGCCTTGCCAGAAGCTCATGTACTGAGTTAGGGAGGAGGTGGTTCCCAAAGGAAATTCAGATGTTGTCACCAAAAGAAGGAGAAAAGATCTCAGTCTATAGAAACAGCGGGTGTCTACTCCACCATGTTATTGCTGGACTTCAGAACCATGAAGTTGGCATATTATTTGGCTCCAAGCCACAAGACTTTCGATCTTGAAAGAGTTAGAAGAGGCTCACCCAGGACACGTAATAAGTTAATTCAGGTGATATATAAGAAAAGAGGAGTTGTGTAATGGGTAAGAGTATGGGATTCGGAACCAAGTTATTGGTTGTATTTACTTGACCTCTCTGTGCCTCAGTTTTCTCATCTATAATAAAGGTACCCACCCGGAGTTTGTTGCAAGGTTTAAATGTGTTAATACAAATGAGATACTTAGAATAGTGCCTTGACACGATAAAGGACAGCTGTCACCATCACGATTGGCACAGGGGTTTGGAAAGTAGTTAGGAAATAAGTCAGATACTTTCTTGATTTCTCTCTCTACCTGGGGCCACACAGTCTCCTCTCTCTGGAACTTTCTCCACCGTCTCTGCAGGAATGGAGGTTCTCACCTGTAATGTAGATTTTGACATAACTTCCTGTAGCTGACCTTCTGTCTCTGGCCTCAACTGCATATGTCCATCACCAGATGAATTCTCGGCCACTGTTTCTGAATCCAGATTTTTGAGAGAATTCCATTAATCTGGCCAATGATTGTCTTTACATGAGAGGACACGAGCTGTTCAATTAGCTGAGAAGAGCCAGGTTAGGGTTGTGTAACACTGAAGCCTTAGGTATGTGTGTAGCTGCTGAATTTGGCAAGTCAGATCTGATAGACAATAGCACTCTCTTTATACAAGCTAGGAATAAAATGGAAGCAAGAACAAAAGCAAAAGTGATAGGTAAGAGAGAAAGAAAAGAAAACACATCACCAGATCAGGGAAACACCAGCATCTGAAGTCATGTAGCTGGGGATTCCCAAGGCAGCTTTGCAGGGTCCCCACTGAGGAATCCCAGGCAGAGTGTCCTCTCCTTGGTGAGACTCCAAAGTCTTATTCTCTGTGGGGCTCCTTAAATAAAGTGAGAACAAAGAAAGTTCCTTCTAACAACCTGCATGACCTGTGGTCCCCTCAAGGACACTTCATCCCCCTAGGACAGGCCAGATCCCCCGGGGAGGGACTGATGGCCTTGAGATAAGCCAGTGAGTCTGAGTTCTCCTGAGTGAGCCAAACCCAGCAGAAGTCAGCATGCTTCAGATGTTCCATCAAGGACACACGAAGGTCACACCAAGCACATGGACAGGGAAGATCTTTAATATTTCCCTTAGCCCTTTATGTCACCTCTTTCAGTAGGCATGGAAGGGCAGGTTTAGCCAAAAGAGGAAGTTTGGCTTAGCCAGAAGAGTGTCTTTTAAATGCATGCCCTAGCAAATGGGAATTCCCCTACAAAACAAGAAACTTGTGTCAAAAAGATACTGGTTATATGTAGACATTTGGGAATAGGACAGTACTAGGAACTGCATTATACTAATGTTATAGTCTTCATAGAGAAGAAAAAAATGATCATTCTCCCATAATTATAAATGGCACATTTATAAATGAGACATTCTCGGCCCTAATTAGAACATTCATCAGATGGACAGAGACTCTCATCCTATTCCCTGTTGAAAAACTCATTCCTGAAGCAGAAGTTCCAATATAGAGCTCACAATCACTATCAGGGGAGTGGATTCCAGAGTGACCAGTGATGTCCCCAAATCTTCCCTTTGGTGGCAGGAAGAAAATTCCTCACTCGCTTTTTTCTTATGCCTTAGAATTATACAGAACAGTGGAATTTGTTGTGACATATTTGTACGTGCACACAGTATAACAGTGTAATTTAGTCAGGTTTGTTCCCCAGTTCCTTATTTGTCTTTTGTTCACTGTGACCTTTTTTTTTTTTTTTTTTTTTACTTTGGAATGTCCCCATATTTTTTTTTCAGCAGTTTCAGTCCTGAGTATTCTTGACATCTCAGTGGACACAGAATTTGCCTCAAATCCCTTGTCCTTTTTCTCGGAAGACTTTCGTAAGAATCTTTCTGGTGAAGTACTTCTATAGTGATGGGGAGGGTCAAGGAGTACTGACGGAATTTCTTAGCTCTGAGGCACTACAGGAAAGCTGGAAAATGCTTTGGATCAGGGCCGGGTATCTTAGGAAGCACTGAGATTTGGGGGAAGACAAAGCATTGTCAAGATTTTGATAGAGGCCTGCTGGGAAAGTCTCCACTGTAAAGGCTCCTGTGCCCCTTTCTAGTGGAACAATTCGTAGGCTCCACGCTTGCTTTCAAATGGATTGGTTTTGAAGCAGTCAACAAAAAAGCATCCTGCTGCCAGGGCCAACCATCAAAAAGAGAAAAGAGAGCAATGCAAACCGTGGGGGAATGTGTGCGAAAGAGAAATGTTGTAGAATGGGGATGTGGCTGTGCTGGCCTGATACCATGTGCATTATCTCCCCCAAAGGACTCCGTGGTTTAATGGATGGGGCTTTAACCTACCCAGAGGTCAGTCTCTACTGGACAAGTGGAACCTCATCCCTGAGGGCATTGACATCCTCATGACACATGGACCTCCTCTAGGTGAGTAAAGTAAAGGTTCTCCTTTTGTCATAGGAGATGACTTTTTTCCCAAGCATAATGAATAATGCTTTAGGGACATGATCATTTTCCTCAAAAAAAAAAAAAAAAAAAAACCGTGAATACAAAAAGAAAAAGTCAGTGTCTTTAAAGAAACCCAGTATGATAATTAAACTCAGCAGTTCTGCAAGGCTTACAGGTGTTCGTGAAATTAAATTTTTTGATTTAGTCGAGTCAGGGAAAAATCAAATGAGTATGGAGCCCCACAGTCTTTTGAGCTTGATAATTTATTTTAAGAACTGTATTCACTTTGGAGTTAAGGGGGAGTGGGGAACGGAAAGAAGACATGGACCTACCAATCGCAGGGCTTTTGAATGGCAATGAAATGATGGAAACTTTTGTTCAAAGGAGCTCATTTTACTTTTCCACATAATGCTGGAACCTGGGGGATCTTTAAAGTTGAACATTTGAGCTGATTATATGAGAAAAGACTTTTTTTTTTTTTAAGTTAAAGTGTTCAGTGAGGACTTATGTTGAAAGTTACTTAAGGATACTCATTCTATAGGCACCTTGGGGCTGCAGCCAGGTTTATATTGTCTGTGTGCTTCAAAGCCATCCCCTAGGGACCCAGATTATGGGACAGAAGATGATTATTGTTTTATATAATTATCCTTAACTATTCATGAGCTTGTTATGGTTTGACTTAGCCATAGAATATTTTTCAACCAGGACCTACCACCTGGTCCCCCATCTACTCAGTACCCCTTGAGCAAGGACCCTGTTGTCCATCTAAAGTGCACTCAGAAAACTCAGATGTTTCACTTTAAATGGGGGTGGGGGTGTCTTTTTAATCATTATTATTATTGTGGTAAAAGAAACATGACAGGAAATCTACTCTTGTTATCTATTTTTGATTGTACAGTACTAAAAGAGTTTTCTTGATAATCTTGTTTTGAGAGCGGGGAGTCATGCGAATATAAATGATCCTCACGACAATTCTTGGTGTGGGATTGTTATCCATGTCCCCTCTCTCCTCTGTCAGCCTAAAATATAAAACTTTCTCATATTCATCCCCAATGCAAATTTGATCTTTGTAGATCTCCTCCAAGCCATTTGGTGCTGCTATCTTTCCTTTAGGAGGGGAGCATTCCATGGTTTGCAAAGAGGGAAAGGGAGGACGAGAACATAGGCCATGGTGGCTCATTTCAATGATGGAGAAGCGAGGGAAGAGGAGCCAGTTGCAGACATGGAAGTGTTACAGGCGGAATCACTGTCCTCAAGCATATCCCTTCTCCATATTACCCCAACCATGTTTTCAAAGGTTTTACTTGGTGACAGCCTTTATCAAGCCATAATCAATTAATTTTCCATTTGACAACCACTTACACTTGCTAAATTGTTAATTTGCTAGCTAAATACTCTTATCAGTGTTCGTTACCTAGTCAAGGTACCTGAGTAACCAACCTTACAGAGCTGCTATCCCATCCAACTTTATCCATCTGCCTGAGCAGCCTAATCTGATTGGATTCGGTCATGATGTTCCTTTGGCTATTTATTGTCAGGGCTTTGGGCATCTTCAGTATAGAAACACTTACTGGACTATATGTATTACTTAGAATGTGACTTTGAATTGAAAAGTTAATTCACAAAGTTTATCGAACCATTCAAGAAAAACACATCCATGAGATAATATGCCAGTCACTGTGGATTTAGGATTTTCCCCTCTTGTTAAAAAGTTTTGAATATCCTGGTTTGATTTTTATCAGGAACCTCCACTTTCATCTGATGTTCTTCCCAGATTCTCTGGTCACTTCCCACACTCAGCTAACCTGTCTTTACAGAGACACTAAATATTCATGTCTGTAGTTTGACCAAAGGAAGCAGAAAGCTGCCTCTTTCTGCCCAATCATTTCTAAACAGTAGAAATAACCTAATGGAACCATTAAAGTGGATTCCCACAGATTATGATTTAGCCTTTCATCCCACCTGCCTTCCTCATGCTCCATCCTTCTGGGGTGTATAGATTTCATTTCAGACCATAATCATCCAGATAGCTGACTTTTGCTATAATTGATGTCCGTTTTTATAGATTTCCTGCATTAAGCGTAGCACTAAGTGGCTTTTACTTTAAAAGTAGTCAATTAGCCCCAACTTGCTGGATGCCACCATGAGGTCATATTGTTGCCTGTTGCCGTAGAGTGGAGAAGCAATGGGCATTCCAAAGCACTGGTCACGGGAACCAACCAAGGGTTAAGAGCTGATGTCTTCAAAGAGAGCAAGGGATCTTGTGTCCAGTTCACAGATAGTCCCTCTCTATTCTGTCTCTGAACCATTTTGTAAGTAAACTGCTCTCAGAAACTATAATAAAGATAAAATTTTAAAAAGAAAGTAACTGAATCGAGGGAGAAAGAGATATTATGGGGCTGCCGGGAATAAAATGTCATTTGAGCCCCATGAAGAAGATTTGAAACCCATGGCTGAATAAATCAAATTCCTTACAGGAAAAAAAATGTTAATTAACGGGGGGGGGGGGGAATGGGAAAAAAAATCAAGAACCTAAAGAAGACAAAGCGATGAGTGAAAAGTTTCTTAAAAGCCATTGTGAGCTTTAATGGAGAGGCTGGGATTACAGATAATGTAATAATCCTTCTGTGAGTTATGGCTTCCTGAAAGTCTAAATGAAACCTTACCTGAAGAGAGAAAATTAAGAGTATTGATTGCATTTCACCCTTAGGTTTTCGAGACTGGGTTCCAAAGGAGCTTCAAAGGGTGGGCTGCGTAGAGCTGTTAAACACTGTCCAGAGGCGAGTCCGACCCAAGCTCCATGTGTTTGGTGGAATTCATGAAGGTAAGCAAAAAGGGATTCACGACTCACTGCAAAGGAAGACCTGAGCTAGACTGGGAATAACTAGAGCAGTAGTTTTTAAACATTTTGGCAGTGGAATCCTTTAATAAGATGAAATCTTATGAGAAAAATCTGCACATAAAGATGATAAATATTTCATATGGAACTGCTTGCTCTCTTTTACAGAGAGTAGAGCATAGGAACCCTGTCTGGCCCACCTTACCACAAACCCAGCATTCCCCCCAGGCAGCTTAGAATCTCAGGGCTGTAATGAGGAATATTTGATAATCACTGCAGCAATGCAAGCCTGAGGTACGTAAAGACAAATTTTCTCTTTAAGAGAGTTAGAAGAAATGCCCTGGATATTAGAAGCTATTTAAAGCTTTTAGAGTTCATGCCTACCTATAAATATTATGTTTCATATGAAATGCATAAAAAGACCCAGGAAGACGAGGCATTCTCTGAAAAATAACTGTGGCCCTGCGGTGAAGGATATACAACAGAAGCAGAAGGAACCAGCACATTTGAAGATGGATGTTTCCCTTGCTAACCTCAGAAAACTGTTTCAGACTTCTCAGAAATCAGTGGCACAATGAACTCAGGCTGAGATTAAGCATAGCAATTAAATCTCCCCTAAGTATCAGGGAACTGGTCCGGTTGCCATTTTCTGCCTTTCAAGGTAAACTGAGTCAGGATCACAGAGCTGAAGCTTCACGGGAGGTTTCAGGGCTGGCTCTAGGTTTTGTTTGCTTCTCTTGCCTTTTTCAAACCAGAGGTAACTGGACTTTTGTGCAGACACAAAGCCCTCCTTCAGCAGGCCTTAGGTTTTCCGAGCTCACCGGCTCTGCCAGGGACACATGTTTGTGTGCAATTGGTGCGTTTATGTGGGCAGCCGCCATATTCTCCCCGGATCCTGCTTGCAGCTGCTCCCTGCAATAATTTATGAAACTGCAGTCAAGTTGAGGTGTATAAGGCTATGTGCCTGACGAAGCAAAAAACAAAGTTTGCTTTTCAAAGTCCACAAATCCAGTGGCTTCCTGGTTATGCAGGTAATAAAGAGCATATTGAAAAATCATCCTACTGAGGCCAGAGAAAATTCAGCTTGCTCCAAGTGCAGGCACCAGCTGAGTGACTGGAAGGAGGGATGCAGCGCCCCCAAAGCAGGCAGCAGCAGATATCAACTCCTCTGACTCCACAAAGGAGAGTACTTCTCTATGATATGATGCAGGGAGGGGAGACCAGAGATGGGACCTCATATCTCAATTGCATTTCAGGGGACCATTGTCTTGAAAACTGGTTTGAATTCCTGCAGCATTCCTTTGAGTTTGCATTCCACCACCCCCCCCACTTTTTAAAATTTAAATCATTAATTAGCTTTAAACTATCCAGACAATTGGGGAATTCCACTAAAGTCTCAAAATAATAAACTAGCTTAAAAGGGAGGAGATCATATTCAAATAAACTTGTCTGGCCTTTATTCACTTAAGACAGCTGAAGAGGGCAGAGAGAGGGCAAATACCAACCTCTTGATGGAGAGAGATAACAAGACTTTATGACCCCAGAACTAAACAGTGCACATTTTAAATGCCTCTTTTCTTTTCTTAAGAGATTTTTCCATTGACCCTCATTAAGCTCTCCACAGGCTTACTTGCAGAAATTTTAGCAAATGGAAAAAAAGAACCTTATCAGTGATTTCTCTAAATCCTGGTAATTTTATTTCTTCATGGCTATATTTTTACATGCCTTAAGAGCTTGATATCGATATAGAATTGCAAACTTAGTTGCAGAAGCTGGAGAGCAAATAGATGGTATCCAGGGAAATATGCAAACTTCCAAACGTCCTAAAATTAATCATATAAAATTATAAAAGAAGCATACATGCCAGAGTTCCAGGGAAGTTTTCTTAGCTTTCTTCCAATAGGTCACTTCCAAGAGGTTTCTACTGCAGGCAGGGATTGATTTTGCTTGATCTAGTGCTCAGGTAAGCTCAGGAAACAGTGGCCTATGGTGATGTTTCTGTACATCACTTGGACAGTTGATTAGTAGATGCTTTTGAATGAAACTTTGAAATGCAACTCCACATCAAAGCCACAGAACTCAAAGTAAAATTACGTATGGTTAACTCTCACAGAGACAGTTTATCTCATAGAAATGGAAGCCCAGTATCCACATCTCCCAACTCCCAGAGTTCTTTCCCTTCACCTGCCCTGAAGCCCACTTGGAATTTGGTCTGTTTGTCCCCTGAGGAGTAACTCCTACATTACTCACTTCCTTCCCTAGAACTCAATAGTTCATACCAGGGCTTTGAAGTGAAAATGCTATTTTTAAAAGAGAGGGGGGTCAATATTTTTCTTTATTCTCCCTACTAAAGAAATCACAGTCATTCCCTGACAAGTCTAGTGTTTAAATAAGAAAAAAAAAAGAATCACTCTTTGTTGAAGTGGAGAATTTCCCCCCCAGCACCCTTTAAAGAAAATAGGATAAAATCAGACATCAGCTCCTGAAAGTTGTTAGACCTGGGCAGGCAGGCTCAACTGAATTTCAACTCGCTGCCCCACTGACAAAGGCTTTCTTGTTTTCCTTGCCTGATGGCCCCGCGTTCAGCCACCATCATTTGTATACATTACAGTAACTGTGACACCATCTCCCCACAGGTTACGGCATCATGACCGATGGCTACACAACGTACATCAATGCCTCAACATGTACAGTCAGCTTTCAACCGACCAACCCTCCGATTATATTTGACCTTCCGAACCCACAAGGTTCCTGAAGCTCTAACTATCTTATTGGAATATGAGGGAAGGTCTACAAACTGCCATTTTTCTAATTATAAACTTACATTCTCTTACTTGTTTATTTCCAAATGCTGTGAGTTCTTTTTGTAAATTGTCGGAAACAAACAACAACAAAAAAAAATTGATGCTAGAGGTTGTGCTTCTTCTTTATTATTATTATTATTATATTATTATTATTATTATTATTATTTCTAAATGGGGCACCCATTGGAAATCAAAGGAGCATTGTGAATTTGTAAAATGACTTCTGATTTTTCAAAGGCCACGCCATTGTAAATTGTTAAGTGTTCGCCAAAGGACAGCCAAGCTTTCTTTTAAAAAGTGAAAGAAGTCTTATTTTAATATGCTTTAAGCTGGAAGAAAAAGAAAAAAAAAATGGAAACAGGTAGACAGTGTTTTAAAAACCACCCAGATTTGCACAACTGTTTAAGAGTATTGTTTTAAGTATTTTATTTTTTAATGTTTCGTTGTTGTCGTATTCTTGGTAATGCTTCATTTTTGCAGATGTGGCCCCAATTTTAAACAATCTTCTCAACTGAAGTAGGTATGGAAAAAGCCTTCTCGTCACATTCTTGCTGGAAAGAAGACATGTGTCAAGGGAAGACAACAGCCCTCATTTAAAGGATGGCTTAGCTAGTGAGATCCATATCGTGGTTTTACAAGGTCTCATTGTTTGTTTGTTTCTTTTAAATTATTTTAGCTTTAAAAATATGGAAATGGAACCTGTAAACAGCAGGTATTTCATGCAGTAAAAAAAAAAAAAATGAGTGTGCAGACTCTTTTTCAGTATGGGTTTATATATATAAGTATTTTTTTGTGTGTGTACTCTAAGTTAGGAGTTTAACATTGCCAAGGACAGTACAACTGTGGTGGGATGCTGTGTGGCTGCACCTCAGAAGTCCGAAGGAACTGACACATATTCTCAGAACTCAAGGTCTTAAAGAGCTTGAGTTAAATCTAGGTACAGTTACAAGCGTGTATAGAATTAAATGGATGCAATGGAAGCTAACTAAAATAAGGCTTAGTTGTCCTTTCTATTTAAATGCCCTGAATTGTCTTCTTACTTCCTCTCCCCCCCCTCTCCCATTTTGCACTGTGTGTCGATGCAATCTTCGCTAGCACAAAATATTGTCGCTAATAGTCATTTCTGTTTTCCCATTGTAAATGCTGTTGAGCTTTATTCTATTTTATGTTACCTTGAAATTTAGGAAAGCTGTTGTTTCTTTAAATTTATTGTGATATTCTATATCTAGCGGCCTTTATATGCAAATAAAATTGCAAGATTTTTAAATCTGTGCTGTTTGGAGAGTTGGCTGGTGGAAGGGTGGTCGTTTTGTCCTGTGGAGGAGGGGGGAGGTTCTTCATATGCTACATCATAATCCCTTTTAGAATAATTAAAATACATGATTTTTTTCCCTTAATTTTCAATAAACTTTTATTACCCACCATGCGCAGGCTGGCAGGTAGGTCAATAAGACCTTGGGTGTAGTCTTTCCTTCCATTGTGCTGTCATCTATCTTGCTGTAGATTTCAGAAGGTACAGATTTCATCTTTGGCCATTGTAAGGTTTGAGGGAATAGGGAGACTGCGTACGTGGATGCTATTTCAGGTGTATTATAAGTGGAAGCTGTTAATGATAGAGTAATCATTGCACGTTCTCATTTGTCCCCATCAGCAGGCCCCATCTCCCCATCACTGTTGTTTTCTTGAAATGATATCCAACAACAAAATGCTTTGGCATCCAGGAAGGGGCAGGCAGTGGGGTAGGATAATGCCTGTCTTTTTATTTTTTTCTGGAAGGACCATTGAAGAAAGGCAGTATATCTGCAGTGTATCTCCCAAGTCTACTTCTCAGTCAATGCCTCTTGGATTGCATTTGGATACATCTTCCTGCGCGTGGATCCTTTGGTGCAATTCCTAGAAGGAATTCTCCGTGTCACTCCCAGCAGAGAGAAAGTACTAGGCCTGAATTTCAGCTCAGATTCACATTTAATCATCATGATCCGATGTAGTTGCTAACATTTATTAAGCATCTTGGATGCCACGCAGAGCCTGTGGTGGACATTAGTCTAAGCTTGCAGAGAAGATGTTCAAGCTTACCAAGGAGAAGAGGTCCATGATCGTGTGGTAGCTACAATGGGCCAATGTAGGTTCTGAAAGAAATTTACATCCTTCCTTTGACCTGCTACCTCAGTAAAAGAGAGTATTGACTTCAAGCCCCTTTCTGCAAGGCTGGAAGAACTAGACTGCTGGATGGAAATTTCACCTGGCTCTTGTACCAGGAGGTAGGCTCAGATGTCTCAAAAAGCAAGCTCTCTAGAAATAGGTGGATGATCACCGTGGCAAGTGTGCAAACCCGTCTGGACACAAACTAATTAAGCTGAACACTTAACTAAAATTGCTTTCCATTGTGTGGGAACAGGAAGCAATACAGTCTACTAAATCCATAGGGTAGCCTGGCTCATGGACAGAGATTCCTTTGGCCAGGCCACAATTCCATGTGCGTGAACTGCCTCCAGGAAATCCATAGAAGACTGTTCAAAAACCTAAAGTTCTCTCCATTAGGCCTGCTAACAAGGAAACATTCAAAATAGCTCTTATAAATCAGGCCCTTTCTATCCCTTCTATCACCAGGCACTCTGCTGAGCAGGTTTCAGATTTTATTTCTAATCTTCACAAAATCCTGAGGGAAGTCACATAAGCCCCACTTTATAGATAGGAAAGTATCCCTCCCCCAACCAAATAATTTCCCTTAGGAAAATGTAAGGTTTAAAATCTGGTCTGTCTGACTCCATAGCACATACCCTTTCCATCACCCCTGCTTCCACGGGTTAAGTGAATGCCTTCGAGGGCTAATATAAACTGGTTCGGCCAGGGCATTTCCTGTCCCTCTCATAGGAACCCACTGGAGTACCTTGCAAGCAGCTTTCCAACAATATCAAGCTGGATCTCTTCCTCTCTGCTTGAGATCCGGCCTTGGATAAGAGCAGAGACCCTAGGGCCAGTGGGCCAGCCCACATCCCACCTCCATCATGGATTAGTATGGCTTCCTGCACCTGGGTGCTCGCTTTCTCCATAAATAGGGTGGTGAGAATGAGGAGGAAGTTGTGTCATATGAGTTCATACATGGAGATTACTGCCTGGCATATAGTCAGCAGTTACCTCTGCTGTGTCTTGAGATTCTCCAGGCAAGATTCTGTCTGTTGACTTCTCACCCTGGAGAGCACCAGGTGGCACTGTGTCGGAGACAGCATGCTTGTGTGCATTCTTAGGATCTGTAACACACTTCCCGCCCTAGAAATATGAAGAATCCCAAGGGCATTTCTAAGAGGCAGATAAGGAAAACTGACTTCCGAGTTTGGGTATTATATTTTGCAAAATCCCTTTTTAATCTCCAAATAGGAAGGGGTCCCTACTCTTTCAAGTTGCTTAAAGTGGCACCCACAGATCTTTCCTGAAGCATCTTTCTCCCCTTGGAATTTTCCCTCTCCATCCCACCACATCCTTCTACTTCAATTAGTGAAGTTTTTTCCCTGTATATTTTCTTGTAATCTCCTTTTGTTTTATAAAGATATTAGGGGGATCCTGAAATCCCTTTAAGAGACAAGTTGCTGTTATTCTGACAGGTGGTCAATGTTAAGCCTGTCTTGTCTCCATCGCTGAAGGAAATAAATACTGTGACTCCTTAAGTAGGAAGAATCGAAAGCTGGGAGGATTTAGGATTTGTTGATTGCAGATGAAACACTTGCTGTGCCACAGAATCATGCCCTCATCCCCCATTCTCACCCTGCAAGGATGTGCAGCTTTAGTGGAGGCTTTTAACCTCCTTATATTGTTTTGATTTTCCAGTATCATTTAATGTTCTGTTGCCATTCTCCTAAAAGTTTTTAGGAACTTTTTGTTTAAAACAAAAGTGAACTGAGCTCTACTTTAAGAATTTGACCATAAGCTGAAGCATATGGAAACACTGTTGTATACGGGTAGGAAGCAGTTGGATGTTGTTATGGTTTGTGTGTGAGGTATCCCGCACACGTGTGAGACAATGCAAGAAGGTTCAGAGGAGAAATGATTGGGTTGTGAGAGTCTTAACCCAATCAGTGATTTAATCCCCTGATAGGGATTGAGTGGTAATAGAAGTGGTAGGATGTGGCTGGAGGAGGTGGGAATTGGGGCGTGGCTTTGGGTATATATTTGTATCTGGAAAGTGGAGTCTCTCTCTCTCTCTCTCTGCTTCTGGACCATTACGATATGAGCTGCTTCCCTCTACCACTTTATCCTGCCATGATTGTTCATCCTCACCTTGAACTCTGAGGAATGGAGTTATCCTTCTGTGGACTAAGACCTCTGAAACCATGAGCCCTCAAATAAACTCTAATCTCCTCTACAGTTTGGCTGGTCAGATCCTTTAGTCACAGCAGCGAAAAAGCTGGTTAAAAAGGATGTAGGGGGGCTGGGGTGGTGGCCCAGCAGTAGAATGCTTGCCTCACATTGTTAGGCACTGGGTTCTATCCTCAGCACCACATAAAAATAAATCAACAAAATGAAGGTATTTAAAAAAAAACAGATGCAGGAAGGGTTTTAGGATTGGAGAGTCTTAACCATGGGTTTCATGGAAAGCTTCAGGAAACCTCCTTGAAAACTTCTAGAAACTTCCTCTTAATACAAAAATGTGTCTCCCGCTTCCTGTAGTGAAGTAGCAGGGCTGCTGAGTGTCTGTCATCTCCCTGGCATGGCTCTTCCAGAATGTTCAAGCTGCTGCTTTCTTTCCTTTTCTAAATACCCACTTCCTCTAAACTGGCCTATCCTGCTTTTCCAGGAAGAGAAAAACAGATTCCAAAGGTTCCTGGAGAATCCCCACTCTTCCCTGGTACCCACACAACCATCAGTCTCTGACGGTCATGAGAGGTTTGGAGAGGGTCGGTGGCACCACCACAGTCACATAGCACATCAGGAGACAGAATCCCACATTGTCATTTGGATTCTCAATTCGGAGCATGACTATTTTTCAGCTTGACCTTCAGGAAAAATCGAGATGGAAAGATCAGTCTGGGCCGGATATAATATGATTTTGTAGTAGAGAACAAACCACCAATCTGTGAAGGAAACCTCAGAATCTTCTGCCGAGTTTGCTCTCTCTCCCTTTAACGAGTCTGCCTGCAACAACTCTGATGGGCCCCTCATTTGTTCTCTTGCAAGGGAGATGGGCACAGTTTCTGCCTTTCCTACCTCAGAACGTCATAGCTCTTCGTCATGGGGTTTTGACGTGCATACATGTGTCATGTCTGGAAGGCACTAGGAGTTGGTAAGCTTCCCCACCCGTGGAAGAAGACATGTTGAGTGACCTCAGATGTGCTATTTTATATCTGTTAGCCTCCGATTCCACCCTGTATAATGGGGATAACTACTGTCTCACAATGAATTTGTCAGACTTGACACAGTAATATCCACAGAGCCCTGGGAAGAAAATTGTATTGTTCTGCCAGTCATAATTTCTTAAAGCGTTTTTTTAAAAAAAGACAAAAAAAAGATTACCTTATTTTTGGTGAGTCACAAAGCGAATTGCTTGAGCTGGACTGAGTCAGAGGAATGATGCTGCCAACCCCAATTGTACAGAAATTGAGCTCTTTAAATTCTTGTCTCTCTGTCTGAATTACCTGACAAAACATTTGTGGTGGGTTCTCCCTGACTCCTCCTCATTTCCTTCCTGAATTAGGGATGCCTTACAAGACAAAAATCCAAGGGTAAAAAGCTTCTTTTACATCTGAGAGCGTCTCTATCTAGGTAAT